CACACACACACACACACACACACACACACACACACACACACACACACCCTCTGAAACCCAGAGCTTAGTAAAGAACCCACATAGAAATCATTAGATTCTAATAGTCCCCTTCCTCAAGAATGATTTATCTCAGCACATAATTTTTCCAGTGGAAGTCATCTTTCTACCAATGATTCCAGGCTCGCTGAATATTATTTAAAAGACAAGTTAATACGTGCCATAATCCTGGTTTCATAAGACATAGAAAAATTCCCAACTTTAATGTAGGGTGTCTGTGGCATTACAGCTGCACCCAAGTAGAATTAAAACATGAACATTGGAAGACTGACCAAGTAATCTTGTTTTCTTGAACTTGTTCTGATGGAGTTATCCGTGTGGCTGTTGGGCATGGCTATGGCTTTCTTTGTATGCGCGTGCACACACATGCGCGCACACACACACACACACACTCATGCTTGAGTGAGGCACTGTCTTCTAAAAATTTAGGAACCTGTATACATGTGACAAGAGAAACCCCCAAACAAAACCAAAAACCAAAACAAACCAAACACAACACTCCAACCCCATCAACTCTTTCAAGTGTGTGTTATGTGGGGACATGAACAGCCACTGCTGAATTGGTGACTTTTGAAAGGGAACCCCCAGAGATGTCATCTACTCCGAAGTCCGTTTATCTCTCAACTGCACCCAAATAAAAAGGTGGGGAGTGTGCCAGGCCCTCCTGCAAGTCAGACGCTGAGAAGGATTAGTTGTGTACTAATATTCTTACAACATACTAAATCCCGTAACCCTATTACAAAATCTATCCTCTAGGCAGCTTCCCCCAAACTTACGGTCCAACCGTGTAAAAACAGTCATAACCTAAAACCATTACCACCGAAGAAAAAAGGGGTGGGGGGTGGAGAGAGGTGAGAAAGAGAGGAGAGCGGCCCTGGACACAGTGCCCCTAACACTTTACTGCTTCTTAGGACAATGAATCAGCTTTAGGGGAGAAAAAAAAAAAAAAAAAAAAGGAAGAAAAAGGAAAGAGATGGAGAGAGGAAGAAAGAATGAGGAAAAAAAGAAAAGGAAACTTGATTCAGTTACTTAATTAACTTACCTCAAAGCTCAAAGAAACTAAAAAAAAAAAAAGTCTAATAAATAATAATGGTAAGAGGTAGTGAACTCCTTTTATGCCATTGCTTTATGAGAAGCCTTAACTATTAAAAATTCCAGATTCAGAAGGCGACAGGCGAAAAGGCAAAGATGTACCAGACATCATTTCTTCCTCAAGCCCGAAGCCCCGAGTCTTTGGCTCCCTTTTTGAAAATGTGTGAAATCGGCACAAATTTACAAAACAAAACACAAAACCAAACCAAACCCGAAAAAACGCTTTCTTCTCCTCCCGTTTGGTTTTTCCTACAAATATTGGGAACTTGAACAGTATTCCGGGGTGGAAGGGCTCCCCAGAAACTTTAGGCAAGGTGGGTGTGGGGGCGAGAAGAAACCAGCTGAGAAAACCGGGGAAAATATTCGGAGCTGTTGCTGCGGCCTTGGGTAAATTTCACCCCGATCTACCTCGCATCCCCGGTTTGGCCTCGGGTGGAAAGCGGGGTTCGGGGGCTCAGCTCAGCGGACTAAAATCGCAGACACTCACTCGGGTAAGGCTTGAAGCTGGGGAAAGTACTGGGGTTGGGGGGTGCAAATATTTGTAAAGCCATTTTCTTAACGGGTCTCAGTTCTCCCCACTTTCTCACAGGGACCCCTATGCCAGCAGTCTCCTTTCCCGACAGCCGGGGTGCCGGGAGTGGGAGTCCCGGCGACTTTGCCTCGGCTCTGCGCGGGTCCCCGAGCCCCAGCTCTGCTGAGAAGCAGGCCTCTGGGGAAGGAGCCCGGGGACCGCGGGGCCCGGGCGGCCGCAGAGTTTAGTGGACAGAAGTGCCGATCCCAGGCCACACTTATGAGCCCTGTCGGGTTCAGTTCCCTCCTCCATACCCCAAAAAGCGGCCCGGGACTTGAGCATTCCGAGTGGCATCCGGAGCCGCGGAGCCCCCGCCGGGGTTGCCCTCGTCCTCCCGCGGCCGAGGGGCGAGCATCGTGCCGGGGACCGAACCGGGCGCCGCTCCTTCGCCTGCGGCGCTGGGCCTGGGAACTCGGAGGCCCCTAAAGTGAACCCCCCTCAGGGACAAGGAGGGACTCGAGGTGTCCTCCCTCCGTACCCTAAATCCCCTGCCGGGATCTCTCCTACTCTCGGCCTCAGCGCTCTCACACAAACTTTGTTCTAGACTTGTTCATTCCCTTCGGGACCCCGCAGTTGTCGCCTCCACCCGAGAAAGCCAATGCCTCTGTTTCGGGGGGGAGGGGGTGTTCTCCTCTGGCCGGAGAGCCCCCCCCCCCCCAGCCCTGGAAAAAGACCCTTACGATTCCTGGAAGCACGGGGTACCACGATCCTCTGCGGGAGCACACCCAATCCAGAGATTTCTTCGGGGCTGGGCAGGGGGTGCATGTACTGGGAGAAAAGACGCCGGGATAAACTTGGGTAGCCGGCCCCCAACACTGTCCCCCGTCCGCCTGCACTGTGTCTCGGAAGGAACCAGCAGCAAAGAGCACCCTCCACCCCTGCCGCGACCCCAGCAGGTCCGGCACGGGCGCCCCGACACAGGTCCCCGTCTTCTGGTAGCTCTGAGCCCCTAAAGTCACCCCATTCCGCCGCGCCGGCCCAGGTGGAGTGTGAGCGCTTTGGGGGGGGCGCGGCA